AGTATAAGCTAAGCCTTCTCTGCAAAATGATAAGACATGTAACATTTGATACTTCCGCTAGCTACTACGACATTCTCTCCCGCGCACTTTTCTTCATAGTCGTCTTCGTCTTAGAAATTAAAGGTCTCTTATAAATTACCTACCTGCGTACGACAGAGGTCCTGCTACAAACGAAAGGGCTGAACCCATACTGTAGCTATGTACTGTCTGTCCTCCGTAAACGGACGATAGAGAAAGAAAAACTGCTTCCATGCTGCCTATTCCAAATGAAACCAAACACACACCAGATAATCTTACTCTCAGGTCTTGAGCAAGTGATGTGAGCAATATTCCAGCGACAGAGGCGATAAAAAGTACAAAACATGCCACAGAAACTGGAACCCTTTGAAAAACGTAAGGATAAATGAATGTTACGAGACAGGCTGGAGCAGCAATAGAAAGAGTAATCCATGGCGTAGGGATGTTAGTTGCTTCAAAGATGTCTTGAGCGGCACTTTGGTAAATACTGAAGAAGAAGTCTACCAGGAAGCCAATCATACCAAAAGCAAAAATTATTCTTTTTTGGACTTTCTGCTCCGTGTCCATGTGTTTTTCCATCTTGTTGTCTTTCTCGTTTGCCATTGAGATAGGTATTTTACACCCTGAAAGTAGAGAGATATATTCTAAGGAGAAGTGACAAGACTGTTCTGGCCAGTGGAGGTCTCCGATTCCGCGAGAGTGGCGTCCTGTTGCAGAGAGGACACTGCATGTCGAGCATATTCATGTATCATCATCACCATTATTATTATTGTCATTGTATTTTACTTTATGAAATGATGCAATTAACCTGTTTGCGGTTTCTCATACCAGAGCAGAGTTGCACGTTGGAGTTGGCTATTGAAGATAAACAATGACCTCGACCCAAGCCCGTAGAGTAAGTGAGGGCATCATCCGATTTTTGGGCCACTGAAGTGGAACCGGAAGGTTTAAATTCGCAATAATGACCCCCTGTTCTGCCCTTTCATATATTGAAAATAATACCCTGTCTAAAACATTGGAATGGCGCTAAAAAATGGAGGTTGCGGTAACGAACAAACTAGGAGCTGGCTTGACTGTTACTGACGTGTCATGTCCAGAAGGCTTCAGGTGTGAAGATGATCGAAAAGTAATAGTTTGAAAACGCGGCTCGTCTAAGTTAAAGCTATTGGGCCGATGTTCGCCGAGTATTTCTCATTTCTTGTAAAGGTAAACAATTTAGAGTGCAACAGTCCGTAACTTAGTTGCAGTACGTTGAGGGGATCAGAAAACCATGCACCTTTTCGCGCAGTCGATCGTAATTCCCCTAAAAGTTTTTTTTTAATGGCGTTTAACCTTGCTTTTAGGGTCTAAGATTCCACCCGATTTCTCTTATTTTGGCAATAAACATTATATTCTGTGCCATTTTACCTGCCCTGTTGAGCTGGGATCATCTTATAGGAAAATGTTTCATCAAAAATTCCGCATGAAAGTAATTGGTTTCCTTACCATAGGGTAGAATATTCGATATCCTCGGGGACCTAGGAACAGTTAGTCGAGTGGACATGAGGAACGGCGCGACGAACGTTTTCCGTCGAGCACTCGGCTTGAACACGTTCATCCGCCCAGAATCCTCCCAACGTTAAAAATTACTGACTGCCCCTGGATCGCCGAAGATGAAGATTCAGCGATTGATAAGAACACTATAAATTTAGCAAAAGACAGAATAATACTCACTTTTAAAAGCTGAAATCGAAGCCGAGTTTTAGAACCGTGTTCTCGAGAAGTAAGAACCTACGATGACGAATATTTGATTGAATAGGAGGATTTAAAGCCTCGGGGCGTTGATAAATGATTTTCATTTTAGGAGCAATGGATGAGAGGAAAGGAACAAAGGAATCTGTGGTGGTTTTGGTTCGATGATAGTGTAAAACAAAGAGAAGCCATCATCAACATTTTTTCAGATGAAATGAAGAAACTTGCATACAAAATTTTTAGCCCTCAATGGTTATTATGGGCAGCCTGTACTCTCCCTATATCAGAAAATCATAACGGGTTCAACCCCTTATGGGTTTCTCCCTATATTTAATAATATTTTTTTATAATGTAAATTAAAGTGGAGTACAAAGTTGTTTGCTGTTGTTTTTTAAGTCTTTTAATATCACTTCTGAATAACTGTCTGTATATTATTGTAGTTGGTTGCGTGTTGACATGAAGGAAAAAAATCTACGTCAGCCTTGTTCCTTGACCACCCAATGTGCACAAAATACTCAAAAAAGAGTGATAATTAATACATTCGTGATAAAGCTTAAAACAACGCCGAAGTTCTTTAATATAGTGTAGTTTTGGTTGCCGTCGCCATACTTCGTCTTTGCTGATTAATTAAAAGCTCCCTATGGTCACATGTGAAGGATGTTATGGTCATTAACAAGTTGACATCGGAGAGCATTTATGTCTTTGTGGTTAATTCGTTCATCTTCTGTTGTGATGTACCTTTGGAACAAAATTCGAGTTTCCTTTATTTCTCTTTTCCATTTTTTTTGTGATATAATGAGTTTTTTTCGAGGAATTTTAAACCTGTAACAACTGAATGCTCTATTGATCATGCGCCAGTTTTCAAAGAATACTGAATCACGAAATAAATCTCCTTAGTTTTCTTAAAAAAACAAGTTGTATTTGGCGATTTAAGAAGGCTAAAGATTGTTGTTAGGTCCTACCGCGATTATGGCCACCTTTACCTGTTTAAATAAACCTCAGGATAATCTCCAAAGCGGGGTTTGCCAGCGATCTGTATGCTCTATTAATCTTTCGCCAGTTCTTAAGAACAATCACACAACCATGGAAATGAATTATTTGTTTTCGATCATACTCCATTTCCGAGGATGCATCGGTAAGGGTCGCAAGTTGCTGTAAGAAATGAACTAGGAGCTGGCAGAAAGCGACTTCTATATTTTACCAATAAGGTACTGCTTGAGTACTATCCGCTTCTCAATTTTAATTCAGATATATCCCTTCTCTTTTTCGTCTTTAATGAACACACAGACAGTTTAAAAGGTTAACTCCTCGTAAGTGCCGGAATTCGAAAGCCAGTTGAGAGTATCAGAAACTATAGAGCCGCGTTTTTACTGTGGCTGGCCTGCACTAGCGATGCACTCAGCCCTGCTCTGCCTTATTGATTATTATTCAAGTCGTTTGCCCTTCAGTGAACTGGCTCACTGATCTGAGTGATCTTTTAATTCCATTAACGAAAAACACTGTGAATTAACTAGACTAAAAGAAAGTAAAAGAAGAATAATATTTACCTCTAAAAGTTGGATAAAAGGTGGATTGTCTTGTCTGGAAAAAAGTCGGACCCAACTTGCAGAACAACACGATACGCCATGGTGCTGTAGGAGGATACAACTGGGCAAATGCACGCGACCTTGTGGCGGTGATATACGGATGAGTGGAAAAGAACAATGGAATTAGTTTCTAAACGAATTTGGGGTTTTCCGTTGATGGACAGAAAGTGCAATACCGAGGAGCTATCATCAACACGCACCAAGACTATAGTTTTTCAATTCATTTTTGTCTTCAAATTCTGTTTGCCGGGGAGGTTGTTGACATTTACGGTGTCGAGTCACCCTGCTACCCTGCTACCCTGCTACCCTGGGTGCCAAAGGTGTTTTCCCAGCCTAATATGGTTCGTCTGAGCGGCGAAGCGCGAAGCGCTACAATGATGTGCCACGGCTTTGTGCGCTCTCTGATTTTGGTACTTTTATGCCTTGAAACCGTCTCTTTTGGAATCATCTCGAATACAAATGGATATGTCTTGATATCTGGTAAAAGTCAGACCGCTTTCCCTGGGAAAAAGATAAAGTATCTCATCGACAGAAAAACAGCCATTTATCATGCAACTATTCAACATCTACTCGCATTATTTCGAAAACAATGCCCACTTGTCGCTCAAGCCTGATGACAATAAATACAACATCATCGTCAATACGGAACATGGAAAACCAGTATGTTTCATCAGCCGCGTACCATACACATCGAAGTCATCAACAGAAGCTCATACGCCTAATTGTCGTAATCCCAATAACCTGATTACCATTCAACGCTTGCCTTTAAAGGCCAGCAATGCCCGCCATATGTCTTTGGGTCTTTTGAATGCGCGCTCTATAAATAATAAGGCATTATTTATCAAAGACTATGTAGTTGATCATCAAATTGACATCTTGGGGATTACTGAAACTTGGACCAGATCAGATGGAGAATCCAATCGTGTTGTGAATGAGCTGAGTCCCCGGGGATATTCATTCATCCACGTACCGAGAAAAAAACGATCTGGTGGTGGTATTGGCCTGTTATATAACACAAGCCTGAAAATCGAAAGGGTTGATTGTAACAGTTATGCCTCTTTTGAATACTTGGAGGTGAAACTGCACACTGCATCAACAGTTGTTAGAGTTGTAGTTGTTTACCGCCCTCCTTCGTCAAAAGTTAATAAACTTACTTCCGCCAGTTCTTTCATGATTTCAACGATCTGCTCGAACACTTCTCAGTTTCCTCTGGTAGGCTTTTGATCAGGGGTGACTTCAATTTTCAGGTAAATGAACCATCTCGTGATCGTCTGGCGGCTAAATTTCTTTATTTTCTGGACTCTTATAACTTGGCCCAGCATGTTACAGAGCCTACACACAAGCGTAAGGGCACGCTGGACTTGATAATTACAAGGGCAAACGAGGAAAATGTTTTGAACTGTAGGGTTGAGGACCCTGACCTATCTGATCACTATGCGGTACACTGCAAGTTGACATTGGATAAGCCCACTGCTCGTAGAGTAGAAAAGACCTATCGAAAACTGCGAAGTGTAGATATAGAGGCTTTACGAAGAGATCTGACAACTTTGCCTGTTTTCACCTCCCCGGCTTCAAATGTAACCGATTTATTAGTACAGTATCAAAATGATCTTGATGGTTTTCTTGAAATCCATGCGCCCGTAAAAAGACGTGTGGTCACCTTAAGGCATTCCACGCCATGGTATAATGATGAAATTGCGTCTGCAAAGCGTGAACGGCGTAAACTGGAGAGGCACTGGCGAAAAACCAAACTAACTGTACACCAACAACTATACAAAGACAAATGCAAACAAGTCAGGTCTTTAATTACATCGGCAAAGATGGAGTTTTACTCTGATTTGATAAAAGAAAACAAAGGCAATCACAAGGTGTTGTTTTCCGCCATTGAGCGAATGTTAAACCTGACACTGGAGAAGTGTTACCCTTCTTGCGAGTATGCAAAAGAATTATGTAACAACTTCGCGGATTTTTTCTCAAGCAAGATTGCTACAATTCGATCGAATCTAGACTCTTTGGCACTGCCTGATATCCCTTTCCGATTTTCCCGTTTTGATAATCCCTCTATCTAATGTGAATTTAACCAGTTCAAGCTGGACTACTGCTGTCGAACAGAGCAAATTAATTACTAAAATGGCTAGGAAGTCGTGCCCTCTAGACCCCATTCCTTCTAACTAACTCAAGTTGTGCTTTTCTGATTTGGTACCAATCATAACAAAGATTGTTAATTGCTCTTTAGAAAGTGGTGAAGTTCCTCTGCCTATGAAAATGGCTATTTTACCTCCTCTTCTTAAAAAACCGTCTCTTGACACCGAGCTCTATTCAAGCTTCAGACCGGTATCGAACCTTATGCTTGTGTCCAAGGCGACAGAAAGTAGCGGCTACACAACTCTGGGAATATTTATGTTCAAATGGATTAAATGAGGAACTTCAGTCTGCTTGTAAAGCTAATCATAGCTGTGAAACAGCTCTGATTCGAGTACAGGATGACATCCTCAAAGCCATCGATAGTCATCGCGGTGATATTGTTCGTGAGCATGGCTTGTCGTTTCACTTTTATGCTGATGACTCGCGGCTTTATACGTCTTTTGATTGCAATGACACCTCTGATCTAGTGGCTGCAAAACAACGTCTTGAGAACTGCGTTGCTGACAACAATTTGTGGATGACTGCCAGCAAGTTAAAGCTTAACAATGATACATCAGAATTTCTCTTTCTGCACTCCCGTTTTCGTCATTCGTTACCCCCTCCCACGATTTCTGTTGGCATGGAAAACATCAGGCCCTCTCAACAGGCTCGCAATCTTGGCGTGATTGTTGACGACACAATGTCACTTTCACGTCATGTTAATACAATAGTTAAGGGTGCCTTCTATCACATACGAAATATTTCTAAAATGGGGAAATACATTAGTAAAAGTACCACAGAAATTATAATTCACAGTTTTGTTAGCTCGAAGTTGGACTTTTGCATTTCTCTTCTTTTTGGTGCCCAAAAACGGGACATAGTTAAGTTGCAGTCCGTTCAGAATGCGGCTGCTCGAATTATCGCCGGTCTCAAAAAACTAGATCACATGACCGAGACACAAAGAGATCTTTACTGCTGCCTTCCTGTTGAGGAGAGAATTATTTTTAAAATAAAGTTAATAACTTTTAAAACATTGAATGGCTCCGGTCCCCGTTATCTTGAAGATATTTTAAACTTTTACCATCAATCAAAGACATTACGGTCATCAATTCAAGGGATCATTTACGCCTTGAAGAACCAAATTTTAACATGAAAACTTATGGCTAGCGAGCGTTTTCCGTTGCTGCCCCCGACTATGGAACAAGCTCCCCTTTGAAATTCGAGCTTGTTCTGATGTTAATCTTTTTAAATGTAAGTTGAAAACGTTTCTTTTTAAAAAGGTATATGACATTTAGTTCATATTTGTTTTCGTTTTCTTTCCTTTTTAAGATGTGTATGCTATAAATTTCCCAATATGTACAGTAGGGTTATATGTAAGCTTGTGATTAATGATATTCTTATGTCCTTTTTACATTGTGAAGCGCTTATAACAGCGATGTATAAGTGCTATATAAATTCCATTATTATTATCATTATTATTAACAAGAAAAAAAACATTCGGCAGCTTTACCAAACCGTGAGCACGGTTTATTTTATCCTGAATTTGAGCACTTTGCGACTGGAGGAGACGACTGAAATTCAGGCTAGGCCTATTTAATCCTAGGTATAAAATTTTTGAGAACGGACGTGTTGCCAGGCTACCATGGCCATCAGCGTCATCATATCATACTAAGAGGGCTAAGCGGCACGACTCAGTTATGCCTTATTGTCCTCAAGTTTAATTTTGTACTCAGATCAAGCACTCAAATTCAACGAAAGTTTTCTGATGATAAAAAAATAGCCCGAGTTTCTATATGCTCAGGAAATGAAGAAATGTAGAGTAAAATTTCAGTTACCAAAGCGTTCACCTAGTTTGATTGTATATAAGCTTGTGGTTAGTTGAGGTTTTGTATTCACCGAATTTTTTAAAAAATTTACGTTGAAGAATCACAAATGTCCAGTGCTGGCCACAAGATCCATACTTTCCTTTTTCATCCTTAGTTCCACACTTCTCAGAGGTGTGGAAGTGTGGAAAAGTCTGACAAAGTAAGGATATTGTCGCACTTTTCCCACAGGCACTAAGCCCTTGTCATTCTTTACTTAGTTCCACACTTCTCAGAGGTGTGGAAGTGTGGAAAAGTGCGACAAAGTAAGGATAATGTCACACTTTTCCCCGGTCATGAACCCTAGGTCGTTCTTTACTTAGTTCTACACTTCTCAGAGGTCTGGAAGTGTGGAAAAGTCTGACAAAGTAAGGATATTGTCGCACTTTTCCCTCAGTCATGAACCCTTTGTCATTCTTTACTTAGTTCCACACTTCTCAGAGGTGTGGAAGTGTGGAAAAGTCTGACAAAGTAAGGATATTGTCGCACTTTCCCCCAGTCATGAACCCTTTGTCATTCTTTACTTAGTTCCACACTTCTCAGAGGTGTGGAAGTGTGGAAAAGTCCGACAAAGTAAGGATAATGTCACACTTTTCCCCTGGTCATACGAAACCACTGTCATTCTTTACTTAGTTCTACACTTCTCAGAGGTGTTGAAGTATGAAATAGTCTGACAGAGTCAGGATATTGTCGCACTTTCCCCCCAGTCACGAATCCCTTGACATTCTTTCCTTAGTTACATTCCCATGTATGAAAAGAGAATAAAGCGCAGTGGGAGTATTTGTTGGTTTTATTCCTGCAACTCGTTTTACATCTTTTTAAATGCTATTTTAACTTTAGACAACAATTCTATGACTAGAAGATATTAGCCTTGTTTCACTGCCATCTGTTTGAATACCCGACCATAAAACAAGCCTACCTTTTCTCTGTCACGAAGTCCCCGTCAGTCCTTTATCTTCGTTTATTTATTTATTTATTTTTCAACGGAAACCTCAACAACGTCATCTCATCTATGGATTTTTATGTTTGAAATTTTTCATCTTAATGTGCCATATGTCAGACGTCTTATTCTGGGTTTTTCTCCTTCCTATAGATCTATTCGGCTGACTCATGCTCACTGTCGTACCCTTTGGGTATAAAACGTTTTGTTTTAGGAATTTCATATCATTTAAATGTGAATGCCACATCATAACGCAAATACAATACACAAAGAATCTTAATCCCGGGTACAACAGTCAGGTCTCTTAAGATCGTGACAACGCTAAAAATAGGCAGTAAAGAATGCAGAGTATGTGCGTTCTATCTTCCTCGCTTTAAGATCAACTTGATAAAGTTTATAAATGCTCAAATCAATTGTTATTGTTCTATTCCTTCATCAGGTTCATGACCTAAATTGGTCTAAAAATATACAGCATTCTATATTAAGTAATAATTGTGACTTATCGGCCTAGAGTAGCTACCTGCAGATCTCTCTGTGGAAAAGGGGGGATCACTGTTTAGGTGCGTGTTATAGGGTCGGGAATATTTATGTTATCTCTACTGCACGTGACAATACTAAAATATTTGCATGGTCCACCCTCCCCTTCGTCTTTAGAGAGTCACCCTTAGGTGAATTCTCTTTCGAGGTTTCTTGGCCTCGAGCCGCTCGCCTCGGAGCGTGGCGTTGCTTCTTCTTCATAATTTATGTCCAGCATTTACATAACCTTAGAGAAGAGGAAAAACTGCGAAACAGTGGATATATGGCGTAATCTAACAATTATCAAATTTGAACCCGTACTGATAAGGAAGAAAGCTTGGTTGTGTAACGAGTATACCTTAGGTTAGTGTACACGAAGTGCCATCCGGGCACGTGTTCAGTGTTCCTGTGTAAAATAGGTCAGTCCGCCATCTTGGTTGTCTTCTGTTATGGTAGCTGGTAAATAAATCAGTTTGTAGCGGACTCTGGTATGTTCCTAACTTGTTTCATGGTGTCAGAAGTGCAAGGCATCCACAAGCATTTATGAGCGAAGAAAGTAGCGAAGGACAGCCATCTTCAGCAGCTCCGAACATCACCACATCGGGCGGTTCACCTTCCACTTCAGTAAACATGGCTAATTTTCAGATACCTCCTCCGGACATACTTGAGCTCAACGATGGCTCTTTAGCCTCTAATTGGCGCACATGGGTTGCTGCGTGGAAGAACTATACTTTGGCTACAAAACTCGACAAAGAGGAGGAAGCTCGTCAAGTTGCAACTCT